TTTTACTTTTTTTATGTGACTTTATTTTTTTTATTTTTTTTATTTATATATATATATTTTTTTGCACTTATTGTTATTGCTATTACATAGAGAGATAACAATCCCCCTATATAATAGCAAAGGCACACTGACAGGTCCTCTTTATGGAGACATTAGGGGTCTCTAGGACCCCTAATGTCACCTGTGGACCCCAAAAGAAGCTGATGAAGCAGAGATCTGCTCCATCAGCTTCTTTTCTCTGGCTTTAGCAGCCAGATGACTGACAGGTGAATGCGGAAGTGATGTAATACACATCACTTCCGCATTCACAGCCCGGAGGGAGGTCAGCAAGGAGCTGATCTCCCTTCCTCTTCCTCCTGACGCCCTCCCGACCCGATCCCGGGCCGCAGATGGGGCAGCGGATCCCGGGATTGAAGGTGAGGCGTCAGGAGGTGGTGAGGGGTCAGGAGGGGGGCTAAAATCCAAGGGCCAAGAAAACAAGCATGTATAGACGATCGGCAGGCTATAGAGCCGCCGATCGTCTATATGTGAAACACCCGTTAACGGGTGTTTGCATTGGTCGGGTCTTTCCTGCCCGTGCGCGCCCCCGCTGGAGACGGCAACCCGCCAATGCTGCAGTGCCGTCCGTCCGTTTTTTTTACAACGGGCAGACGTCAGCTGGTTAATCTTTGTTGATTGAATCTTGCAACTTGAACCTTCACTGGAGGGCAAAGAAACATAAAAAAATCTAGCAGCAGATAAAGACCAAGTGGCCCCTTAAGTCGGCCCCTTTTATTCATCATTTTTTTTTGTTTGAGTATAAATCTATGTTCATTCCAACCATGTTTACATTTATTGATTGACTCCCTACCTCTGTAAGAGTGAATATTTAGATTCTTTGGTGGCTTTTGGCTTTAAATTAATGTATATTATCATGTATTCATTATCTTCTGTTACCCCCCCAATAGAAGGCATTTCCATACACATGTTCTGCTATGCACCAGTATGTCTAGAGTGTGATGTAAAACCAAGCTTCCCTTCCAAAATGTCTTAGATACATTTCAGTGCATGATATTAACCAATTCTGACCTGGGGTATTACCGGTCCAGATCAAAAAACTGAATACAGTTGGTGGTCATGGAAATGGCAGACAGTTTGTATTTCAGACACAGATAACTCGGGACCCCTGAAAATCTCTTACCTGTTCCCATGGCTGGGAAGGCCACTGAAGTCGCTTGTTGTCTCTCACACATGTGTAGGGCGTTTATCACACATTGCTTTATGACCTGTGGTTTAGTTTGTCCGGCAACATGTATTATATTCTTACATGGCAGATTTCCTCCTCCTGTGATCACATACCCGTTGTTGGGTTGGGTACCTGAAAATAAAAAGTTTCTAGAGGTAAAATATGTGAGCAATGATGTAGGAGCTCAGAGTGTCAACTTGATGAAAATCACATAAATAAAAGAACCTGAAAATTTGGACTCCCAAAACCAAATGAATCTCAACTGCTGGAGGCACCATAATGAAAAGATACCCCTTTTGCCTTTACCTCAGCTGCCAATTAGTATCCCTGCCTCACACAGGTCCTGCCCTAATGAAGACGAGATTAGAAAGCACTGGTGGGACCACAAAAAATCCTGTTAGTTTTGGTGTAACTAAGGAGCAAGAAGGGGGAAAATCATTTGGCGTTTAGGTCTGATTTATACCAGGCTAGTTTCCAACACCTAAAAAAATGGCTTTCCTGAAAAATGTTGTAGATTGACATCAGTTTCGTATTATGAAATCTCTCTGCAAAAGATAAAAGGGTCCCGTACTTCTCAAAGAGGAACTTGACTTTGGAAGCTGTGCCCAAAAAAAGGAAGCAGGTGGACTAGTCACCAGTATTGCATGTGGTCCCCATGCAGCTTATTTACCATGCCTTGTTCTGTATTGTGTCTCTTTATGGAGGCAGACATCTTGGTAGAGGCAGGGGTTTTCTTTCTCATGTCAGCCCCAGCAAGGAGAACAGTGAAAAGCACACTAGTGACATCACCAAACCTCGCTCCAAATTTGGTGAGACTAGGGGGGTTGATTTACTAACCTTATAAACACGCCACGAACATGTATACACCTCTGTAGTGTGTTCCCTCCCAGCATGATCTATGGGTGGAATCTAAACACCTTTGTAGTGTGTACACACCCAGCAGGTGTGTTGTGCAAAGCCAAGCATGAATTGCAAGGTGATGTTGTGTAAATTAGCTGTTGTGTTGCTTGCGTTGATGAATGCAGGAATGTAAATGCATGAGCTAACCATTTTTGTCTAAACTGTGAAGCAGCATTATATATGCGTCATGTGCATGATTCTTCAATATATGGCATTAGTGGAAATATGCTTTTAGAGACTTTTTGGTTGATAAATACGTTTTGCTGTGTGAAAATCACACGCACTTGGTGCGTGCGTGTGTTTAGGTTAGTAAATCACCCCCTAGGAGTCAGAGGCAGCAGTGCCTTAGACAATCTTATACTGCAGATATATAGATAGGAGGCCGCAGAACAGGAGTGCCTAGGCACAGGAAGTGCTGATATTTTTCACAAGGAAATTTTGACAAAAGGTACATTGTTCAGGATTCTGCTTAGACACATTTTGAGCTGAGCTCCACTTTAAGGAGAATTAGTCATAGTGCCAGAACAAGGTTCTCCAGTACCCAGACTGAGGATGACAAAGTGCCCCTTTCAGCTCCAGAGATAAGATAGATGGAGAATGAATATTCACACATACAGTGGCCAGGCCAGCACAATAGTTCATATGACAGTCGCTGTCTGTTGGTCCGGGGGTTAGCACCTTTGGCACCAGGGACACCCTGATAAGATTAGATAGAATGCTGAGGCTCGGGGTGAAAAAAGTGAGATAGATTGTCCACTCCGAAATTGCGTTTTAGAGGCTGTAAAATGGAGGGAACATAAATCAGATCCGGTGGCTGTGCCATGTAGTGATAACATTTTGGAACAGTGTTCAGTTTTATCAATCAACGTCTGAACTGAACCCTTCCATGGGATTAAAAAATTCAACTTTTATTAATATCACTTCTGATTTGAAAATAAAATTCAGATTTCCCATTGTAATCAATACTTTCTTCATTCGGTTTAATTCAGGCTACATTTACACTATAAGTTTTGGGATTCCTGTGGTAGGAATCCCAAATCTCCCGTTTAGATGGGGCTACTGTGATACAATTACATGCAGTTTGGTATAGATCACTGTCCCTGTGATCTATTCCAAATTAATACGATTACATGCGGATTGCTGCTTACAGATGCAGTCACTGTCACCTGGTCATTAACTTGAATGGGTGACAGCAGCCACATCTAAATGGGAGATTAGGGATTCTTGGGATCCCAAAACCTATAGTGTAAATGAGGCCTTAGTGTATGACTATCATCCAATTTTCTGGATTGTTTCCTTGTCAGAAGAAAGATCTATGTTGCTGTCTCAATTATTTACCAAAATATTCACATTTTATTTCATACATTATCAGGGTTATTCACAAAAGTAGTGGAGAGTTTGGGGAAGGCAGGAGAAGTGAACAATCGAGGACAAAATTTCTGATTTGCAAAAATTCTCTAATTCAGCTCACTTTCCGGTTCAGCGATGTTGTCCTAGATTGTTAACTTCTCCGGCCTTCTCCAAACCCTTCACCCTTTTGTGAATAACCCTGATAATGTCACATGATCTCTGTCTCCTTCTCTGTCCACATGTAAAAAATTATTTTAAAAGTTTCTTACTGAGTCTGGCACATTCAATTTCAACATTAAGCCCGGCTCCCTCCAGGATGGCTTTAGAAACCCCTGCAACAACACAACATAGATCAGGTTCAAATTCTCAAAATTAAATTCAGTATTTGTTAAGGTGAAAGGAATCCAATCAATAAAACAATGTATCAGCAATATTTATTCTCTATGAAGTCATATGAACAACATTATGTTGTATAAGATCCCAATTTCTTCTTAGTTGTCATATATTAGTGAAGGTCTGTGAGCCTTTTACATGGTTCATTTATTATACTTTAAAACATAAGTGATGAGGTTTGCTGTGTGAATAAAGTAACCTATGGGAGAGTAACATTGATGTCAAATTTATCCTAAATCCTGTAAAATATATCAGATTTCTCAGCCTCTGCCGGGATATCACACCTCCAACATGACCCTACATGAGGTAGAATGTACTCTGCTCCTGACCTTCTCTTTACCTTTCTGATTTCAACCAACCATCGGGATATAACACCTCCAACATGACCCTCCATAAGATGGAAAATACTCTGCTACTGACCTTCTCTCCACCTTTCTGATTAGACCCATCACCGGGATATCACACCTCCAACATGACCCCCCAAAAGGTAGAAGATACTCAGCTCCTGACCTTCTCCCCACCTTTCTAATTATACTCACTACTAGGATATCACCCCTCCAACATGACCCTCCATGAGATGGAAAATACTCTGCTACTGACCTTCTCTCCACCTTTCTGATTAGAGCCATCACCGGGATATCACCCCTCCAACATGACCCTCCATGAGATGGAAAATACTCTGCTACTGACCTTCTCTCCACCTTTCTGATTAGAGCCATCACCGGGATATCACACCTCCAACATGACCCTCCATAAGGTAGAAGATACTCGGCTCCTGACCTTCTCTCCACCTTTCTTATTACACTCATCACTGGGATATCACAACCTCCAACATGACCCTTCATAAGGTAGAAGATACTCTGCTCCTGACCTTCACTCTTCTGATTACACCTACCACCGGGATATTTTACAACATAAAGTAGAAAATACCCAATGGCTCAATAAGTTGTGTTGTGCTCTTTTGGTGAGGTTGTTTTGGGTGTGGGCCCACCAACATTCTTGTGAATACCTTGTTTTAGGTTGAACGTGTTATTGGTTGAGTTGATGAGAACATCACATGTTTCCTTTGTTATATCTCCAGTTTTCACCTGATAGGTGACAGATCCAACCTTCATCTCATAAACATTATTCGCTGGGCTTTTCACATTTCCAAAGAGAGCTACAAAACAGATATAAGAGATAAGCAGAGCCCCGTCATTGTATTCCAGAACATTCTGACTCACTATAAAGTCTGTATTTGTGTCTCTATATTTCTAAAGGTTCAGTGTTATATTTTACTGGCTCTGATCAAACATTAAGTGATTGCTATGTCTGCGTGACCCCCAAAAACAGCTATCCTAGTTTTTGTTTGGAATCAATACAATCTGTTTAAACATCTTGCAGCTTTATTTGTTAGGGAAGGAACGAAGTCCCCCTGTTTGCTGGATTGGAACCCAATAGCAGGCAACAATCCCAGAAGGAGAGTCCAGGCTGAGGTACAAGAAAGGATAATCCAAAATGTGATGTCAGAGTACAGTCCGGGTCGAGGCAGGCAGCGAGTATCATAAACGGTGAGGCAAGCCAGGGGTCGATAACCAGGAGATCCGAATAGCAGGGAAGGGAGGCAGGAAACAGGAAATGAGGCGTTGTAGCTGCTTAGGGAATGGCAGAATAACTCAGCAACAAGTCTTGGCTCTGGCTGGAATTTAAACCCAGCAGGGGCCAGTGACGCTCCTGTTGCCTGGGCAACAGGAAGCCACAGGTCCCTGCGAACCAAAGGGACGGCTGGGAGAGAAGGAGTGTTTGCAAGGCCCTCCCCGGCAATGACCAGCACCCGAAGCAGCTAAGAAGCCACGGCATTGCCACATGCGCACGTCACGCACGCATGTCATGCATGCGCTCATGTGTACACATGCAGCACGCCGCCGGGCACCAATTCACCCCAAGAAGGACCCTACGATCTCCGTCGCTCCCGCCGGACCCCAGGTAAGAGGGCACGCCTGGTCCCACGACATTATTTTAATGAAAATGCCGCCCTAATTTTCCAATTTTGGAAGATGATTTTCTGTAGGATGTAGAAATTGATTTCTTCCATATCTGACCTCAGAATACCAGGAGTTGGGTAATGCACTTGTAATGTTCTATGATATGTCTGGCACTTTGGTCCTTCATATACTTGACGGTCATATACAGTATCAGACCCTTACTTTGGAATGCACAATAGTTGAAATCTGACACACCATAGTCATTGGTGAGCCGGCGCTGGCCTTGCAGGCTTTCTACAGAACTTTCATAGCTTCACATGATCCATCTGGACTTATGTGACGAGGAGCAGGGAAGATTTACTGATTCACATGATAATGCTCAAGCTATTGTGACCCACAAGGTGTGGTCTTAATATGGTCAAATGACCCAGTCAATGATAATTTGTGATAATGAATCCATATACAGGTTGATCATATATGCGATTGTACTATATGCCAAATATTATCACCACTATATTATGATTATCATCTCTGAAAGAGAGAGATCTATATGTAGGACAATCAAGACATCATCGTTCATTAGACATCTGCAATTGTGGGATTGTGATTTCATATTCCATTCATTTCTATTTACAGATTATAGTGATACCCTTTGATGTTTCTGAGTTTTATTACTTTGATGAAAAAAAAATGATCTGTTTTGCCTAAGGAAGGGACTTTGCTGTTCCGAAACGTTGCTCTGATGACGTGACACCTGTGAAGTCAATAAACATCGACTTTTCTACATGCTGGAGTGCTTGTGACCTTTTTTGTATTGTTTGGACTTATTACTTTGATGTATATAGTCAAAGCTGGATTCATTTATTAGATGCGGTCAGACTTTCTGTTGGATATAATAATTGGGAACTACTCAAGCTATTTAAAACTTCAAAAATCATTTCTGGTTGTTTTGTAACATTTATTTAATAATTTCTATATTATTGTATATCTAAAGATATTGGAGATATATGTTTGTTACAGCATCTTGTCTGCTATTACATGTTGTGAACTATGAACAATATAAGAGGTCTATATATGTGTTTTTTTTCTTTTTTCTTTGTCAATGGTTTTAATATATTAAGGTACTTAAGGAATTAAGCCAGGTTATAACTAGACCATTAATCCTATTGGTCATTAGGGAAATGTAGACAAGAATATTTTGTGCAAAATTAAGATTTTTTACAAATATTTTATACATTTTGTTATGGTACCCTTATTTCTTTTCCAAAAGGTTCCAGATTAAACATATTTGGAAGCATGGTATCCTACAATTGTTATAATTATATTTGTAATAAAACATAAGGTACACATGGGGTACAAAACTATTTTTTTTATCGCAATAAACACTTGACGGGGGGATCTGACAGTTCCCTACTCCATGCAAAGATTAAAAAATTAAAATTGACATTAAATCCACTTTAATTTCTAATCCTGAACCATTAGTAAGGGACATTTGGCACCATCATGTCTGCAGTATATGGAGTCTATAATGTTTCTGTATGTAACACGGATATGACTTACATTGCGGTTTGATTTCTTTCTTCTGTCCTCCAGTGCTGATCTTTTTCTCCAGCTCAGAGGTAAAGACCTGAAATCAACAATACAGGATGCAATTTGCAATTTGCTCATTACAATGGAGAACCACAAAACCCCCCCACAGCAATCTGGTACTTCGCTCTTTTAACCACAATCCAATAAAAACTCTTTATTACCTTTATCGTTTCTATATCATTTGGGTGCAGAATGAGATTCACTTGTTTCAGATGTTGGGGCTTATTCTTGCTGCTGAACTCCAGAATCTCCTCAAACATTATTGCAGCCACAGTATTCCTGGGGAACCCTAGAATTCCAGTTCCCATCGCCGGGATGGTGATTGATCTGTATTGTTTGTTTTCCGTAGTACTCAGACAGTCCCTCATAATGTTTCTAAGAATCTGTCAACAGATGAGACCAGCTGATAATACAGGTGGGTGATAGATGGTGCAGTAGAGTTGTACAGATATGAATGGATGGATGCTATAAGCTGATGTTAGCAATTTGATTATAATTAGCAATGTACATGATTAGTGAAGTGCTAATCACACATTGATTTCCCATCTGCGGTCTTAGGATCTAAGGGATGGAAAACGACGAGGTAGACTTGTGAAGTTAGCATAGTAGAGACACCTACTGCACTGAGAAAGGAATTTAACCGCTTCCCGGCAGTGTCTTTTTGAATGTGGGTGGACGATTTAAAGCGAGGTGGCGCACACGACCTGTCATTATTTTTGAACAGCCGGCAATGGCTGTTTACATACAATCGTTTAGGAGGCTCTCACTTGTATGTTGTGCTGCTGCATGCCCCAAACTCCCCGCCCATCCCCCTATCCCGCGCTCCACTGTGCTCCATGCGGCCCGGGACTGGCACAGCAGCTCTCTGAAGGGAGATCAGAGGGAGGTCAGTACATGATCTCCCACTGATCTCCCTTCTGGTCTCTCAATGCGGAAGTGATATATATTACATCACTTCCACATTCAGCTGTCATTCTCTGGCTTCTGTAGTCGGAGAGAAGCTGGTGAAGCAGATCTCTCTTTGGGGATCCCTAGGTGACATTAGGGGGTCTTAAAGACTACTGATGTCTCTATAAAGAGGACCTGTCATTGTAAATTTGATATCACTTAGGGGGCTTCTTAGCCCCCCGCCCCCCATTGTGATAGCAATAACATTAAGTGTAAAAAAATAAAAGTTAAAAAAAATTAGTCACACAAATAATAAAAAAAGCACAATTTGTTTTTTTTTAAAGTCTCCCACACCCCTGTACACACTCAAACATGTGTAGGGTGCGCTTATGTGTGAAAACAACGATGGCGCCCATTACGCCGCGCACATGTTACATGTCACTGCGAATGTCTAAGCATGAGCAATAACTCTCGGGCCATCATTCACTGATAAGACTAAAGTGATGAACGGTAAAAGGTTTTAAAACGTCGCCTGTGGCTAATTTTGGGAATTGTAGTTTTTTGTGATTCCGCGGGCGCACGCAATTTTAAGGCTTGACATGTTTGGTGACTATTTAACCGACGTGACCCCGTCTTTTATATTTAGTAAAAAATAAAAAAATACCACCAAAAGAAAGCTCCGTCTGTCCCAAAAAATGGTACAAAATACATTTCAGTGCAGTGTTGTATGTCGTGAATAAATGTCAGTCAAAATACCTCAGCGCTGAATACTGAAAAATGGCCGGGACAGGAAGGGGGTCTAACTCCGCGGGCTTCAAGTGGCTAAAGAGGCCCTGTATTCTGGAAACAAGCCCCAAAGCAGAGGATGAAGGTGTAGTCACTATGGATGCCTGTGGTATCCTGCAACTATGCTTTATTTCCATTACTAACTTACCATGTCTTGCTTTGCACTGTCTCTCTGTGTGCAGGCAGCGTAGTAGAATCTTTGCAGTGGAGATACAGCTTTCTCTCCAGCAAGGAGCAGATTATCATTATTAAGCTGTATGTTATGCGTGGAAGGCTACTGCAAATATAAAATTCTTACCTTCCAGCATGCTGGCTCTTTCACATAACTCTCAGCTTCGGGCGCTTTGGTTAGTGAGAGATGCGACTCAAGCAGTCAAGTCCTCAAGTTGCATTCCCGCACCTCCTGGCTACTTGCCCATTTCATTGCCTTGCATTTTTCTCAAAGAAAACAAGGATCTCTGTGATTGGAGGAGAAGATGAGATGGCAGGGATGTGACATCATCTTTTCTCCTTCAATCACAGAATGTTACATTAAACTTCTGAAATGCCTCCCAAATCTGGAAGATACAGTATAGTACTGATCTGAGGGTTCCAAGACAGAAGATATGTCATCATGAGCATTGCAACTCAGCTGTCCACATAATTGAAGGTCGGGCCCTGCTGAGAAATGGACCGGAGCAGACTGGACCTAAGACTGCTAGTTCTCTAACCCATCGTCTGTTATCAAGTTAAATGGATATTAAGGTGAACATCACCGAGCAGTACAACTAGTTCACATATGTGTATCACCTGAGAGGAATAATCTCTCATTTCCTTACCTTCTCAGAAGAACCATTTGCACCATCCCACTCTGGAACCACAGCATGGACAACAATGTCACAGGACAGGTTACAGCCATCGGTAATGATTATGGATCCGTCTACCACCTCCTTTCCTTTTCTCTCTGTATTCAGAAGATCCTGAAGGTTGTTTCCGGCCTTCCTGAACAGAGCCTTGGACACGGCTCCAGAACCAAGATCGAGCTCCTTCCCCACACTGTTCACAACCACATTGGTCTATAAAAAAAAGACAGATCATTACTGACAAGTCCAGCAAGAGTCAGGGGTTAGAGAATGTATTGCCTTAAAGACCGCCAATTACAATCGTGTGAAATAGGAAATTGTTGACTTGTTTTAAATATTTGAACTGGCAAACATTAGATCTTCATTCAAAGAGTGCCTTTCAGATAAAGGTGACATGCTTCAACACATGACACATAACATTAACATAGTTTACTCATTCCCATAATCAAAGTTAACCAAAATGCAGATTTGTCATGTGGAAAACATAAGTAAGTCACGGCTCTCTGCAGGGACATGATTGGGAAGTGACCGAGCGCCGGTATGTGTTCGCTCACTTCCCGATCTATTGAGCTGACCTGTGACAGTTTCATTGTCACAGGTCGGCTCGAACTATGAGGCTGAGTGAAAAATCACTCACCTCATAGTTCTTCTTTCATTAAGACCATGTCAGTGTTAGGTGTCATTTGTTCAAGTATATCACCTTTATCTATAGGCACTATATGAATCAATATCTGATGTTTGTTTGTTCAAACGTGTTAAAATTCAACAATTTCCATGGGGTGTGCCTAACTTTTCTCATGGCTGTATATTCTAACAAGAACCATTACTATTCAAGTGGGTCAAGGCACAGAGCTGCATTTCATCATCGGTTGTATGTCATTACTTCTCTGGTTCATGGACATTTAAAGAGGACTCATAATGTCACATCCTGGAATATGTTACTGAGGGAGATGTGTGAGAGGTTATCCTACGTTCTAAAAATCTAATAATTTTTGCACTTTTCATGTTTCCATCTTTTCTATCATGTATAAACACTCCAAGACACCAATGGCACATATTGTCCACTGATATTCATGAAGGAAGTTCATATACATCTATACTTTCTGTAACTAGTGAGGACCCCCTCCTTCATACCCCCTCCTCTTGTACCAGTAGTATCCTATCTAACACAGGCATGTCAAACTGATGTTTTATAAGAAGCATTTGGCCCTCAGTGGTTTAAAAAAAAATGTGGCACCAACTGTTCTCTATTTCATAATGTTCCCCTTACATAGTGTTGAAGCTAAATACCTCAGGGAATGTTTTCTGGCCCCTATATCTGGGATTACATATTGTAAATTGCAATTTTTACTATAGTTAAGCCAGAACAAGAATATACCACTTTTACTGAAGTGCTATAATCTTGTTTTGGCTGTAAGTAGTTGTGGCCCTCAGCTGACATAATGCAGTCCCCTTGACAATTTAATCCTCTTAGATCAGCCCACGTTTTCCTCTGAGTTAGACATGCCTTATCTACAGCCTATGTAGAGCCGCACTGTATATTTCATGCTGAGGATGAAGTTTCTTTATCCTATAACTTTAGTATGATGAGGCAACCTGAACTGAATAAAACTTACCATTGCATCTTCAATATTTCCTTGTTCTATAATGATATTCAGCCCTTCTTTGGTGGTCACCATTTGATCATTGGCTTTGTTCGTCACTTCCCTTTTCTTCTGAGTCTTCTTCTTCTGCTTTTTCATGCCATGTTTCGGAATAACCTGCAAATTTTTTTCTTCAAACTCTTCATTTAAGAATTCTGTGATAATCTTTAAAATGTCGCCATCATTTTCCACGAGGTGAATGTTTTTGATGGTGTTGGCTCCTTCTTGGCTTTCTGTGTATGATTTTATGGATTTAACAATGTTTTCCACACACAGGTCCAAAGGACACCCAGAAGTAACAAAGTCACCAACAGAAAGTACAACAGAGCTTTGGCCATTCTCTGCAGCCATCTTCAAGCTGCGGGTTATCGCTTTCCGTAGAAGACGTTCACATTTTGAATTTCCCCTTTTATCCCATTTGGGACCAAGTGCATGAATCATCTTCTTACATTGTAAATTACCGGCGTCTGTTATTACACACTCCCCTGGCTCCAGCTCGCCTTCCTTCTGAAAAATGGATTTACATTCCTTCTGAAGATTGGGCCCTGCTGCTTCCACCACAGCCAGTGCTGGTGCCCCAGTGGGCTTTAAAGTTTTATTTGATGCAATTATGATGACATCAGCAGCATTGTGCTGGCACAGGTCACCTTTATATAGAGTCATTGTGGCTCCATTCTGGAGGCTGACTTGGCAATGAGGTTCACCTAAATGAGAAATGTTCTCATCTACTTCCTTCTGTAATTGTATCACACATTTGTGGTTTTGTCTTACTGTAGTAACATACATATCTTCATTTTCAAGGAAGAATTTTTTGACCCCGGGTTTAGTACTGTGTAAGGTGTCAGAACAAAGATTGGAAATCATTTTTCTTATGCCGGTTTCTGCCTCCTCCACATATAGCTTCGGGCCAGACAAGGAGATGAAGCTCTGTTTCTTTGCAACCTTCACATTCTGTGATATTCTTTTCCATTCCTGACTCCTTTCTTCCTCCATAAACTGCACAACTGCCACTGACTTCAGCTTGATGGCCTTCTGTACCATAGTGTTCTTCTCCACAAAGTCATGGATTTGCTGGTATGTTTCTTGTGCAGCTGAAGACAAACCAGCAATCACCACCTCATTTCCATCCACCACAGGGAACTCCTCTATGGTAACGTTTATCCCACCATCATTAAACATCTCCATTAGGTTGCTCTTCAGACTTTTCCACTTTGGACTCTGAGTGACAATTTTATCCTCAACAGAAATCCTCTTACAGACCAATTCCTTTATCAGGGTTTCCTCAGCATTTCTCAGATCTTTATCGGAGTAACCAGTTATCATGACTGCATTATCTTCCACCTGAAATGTTGCTCTAATGTTCTTACTCGTAAGGAGACTACATGACAGTTCTTCATTGTCTGCTGCCTTCAGAAACTGGATGGTGTGTGGATCGAGGTGAGCAAGCTTGGATTTCAGGCCTTGAAGTGTATTGAGAATTTCACATTTGGCAGTAAGAACTTCATCTTTTGGCCCATGAAGTTTGATTGTCTTAGACGTTCCATCATAGCTAATCTTCACATGTGGAGAATCTTCCAGGATGCTTTTCTCCAGATCATGTGCAATCATTAATTTATAAGCCGCGGGTTCAAGCCGCACATCTTCTACCACTCTGCTCAGTTGTCTAGTGGTTCCTTCTACTAGGTTTCTGAATATTGGCTCAATCTTCATAACTTCTTCTGAAATGCCCACAATATAAGCCTTTTCTGCACCTAAGACTGGTTTTATGAGGAGGCCATCATATGATGAACTGGATATTTTTTCTTTGATGGCTTCCCACACTGGTGGCTTCAGGTCACACTCTATGACTTTATACTTTGATATTAAAAGTTCAAACTCTTTGTGGATATTATGCTTCCATGTTGGAAGTATCTTTGCCAAGGTCCGGGGATGACTGGAGAGGGCCATGGGGAAAGACAGCTTGATGAAGGGAGAAGGTTGATCTAAATTTGGCCATGTGATGTCACAGTAAACATCCGCCATTGCTTTTTCAACATTTAGTTTTATCTGCGCATCCTTCAGAATAAATTCCAATATATGTGGACAGATGGGGATTTCTACCGAATCAGGTATTGCTGTATGATGACCTTCCTTTCCATATAGGCAATGACTTTCATCTGATAACATGACCGTATCTTCTACATTCCCTCCTCCGTTCTTTGTGCTCTCAAAGTAAAGGATGACCATGTCCTCCGGGGTATTGGGGGGGATCCCCTCCACTCGGACAGTTCTTGTATCTTCCAGACTCTTCGCTGTTATTTTCTGCCGTTGTACTCGTGGGTTCCCGGAGAATTTTCCAATGAAATCTGCAGTATCTGTGAACAGACACATCACATCCTAAGGCATGAGTACATACAATTATATTCTGCTTCCTATCCCAGCCTGAGAATCTGGCCCTGACGGCATTTATTGAATGGTCAGTTCTGCACTAACAATGTACCAGTAGCAGCGTATTAATATTTGCAGAGCTATCCGTCCTGTGAAATGATGTGTATGTTCATTCTGTGCTAATTGAGGCAAAAATCAGGCGAATCGGAAGGCAAAGTACATCATGGCACTTCTGTCAAAATGGAAGCTCGGGGAGATTTAGCAGCTCCGTGTAGCCTCCAGATGCAGTAGATCACTATTAGAAGTATCAGGTCTCCACTGACCACATCCAGACCCCCCATAAAAAAGTAGTGTTTACTACAAATTTTAGCATACAAATGGACATGACTTTTTTTTAATGCAGCACGGGGCAACAAGCAATATGTTCACTGTGGTGTGGTGCAGTGTGGGTGCGTTGCCCGCTCAGAGTGAGTTGGGGTGTCATTCAAAACGAGTGTGAAAGAAACATAAAAACAAAGGAAGAATCGCTGTGACCGAAAGGGGATAACAATTGGGCAGGAAATGGAAAAGACGGTTTGGGCCCATCAGTGGTTTACAGTGATTGATCGTGTTGGTAATTGTTGCTTCCGGGATGGTGTTGGTTTGATCCGAATTCGGAGATTTGTTTTCTCTCGGCCAATTCGGATCAAACCAAATCTTGGAAGCAACAATTGCCACCACAATCAATCACTGGAAACCACGGACGGGCCCAAACCGTCTTTTCCATTTCCTGCCCAATTGTTATCCCCTTTAGGTCATAGCGCTTCTTCCTTTGTTTTTTTGTTTCTTTCACACATTTAAGTCGGACACCCCGGTCCACACGTTTTAGAAGCTGTTCACCTATCCACCACTTCCGAGAGCTTTTTGCCCCCCAAAAAGACCCCCCCACTGGCGAGCGCTATAACTTTGGACTTTCTCCCAAAAAACTTTCCACTTATTCAAAACGAGTGGCAATACAAGAACAGCACAGGTTACCATGTCCTCTTTAGTAACAGTAACATGTACCCTGTTTCCCCGAAAATAGGACCTACCCCGAAAATAAGACCTAGTACTATTTTGGAGAATTGCTAAAATATAAGACCTACCCCGAAAATAAGACCTAGTTGTGACCATTTTCAGGGCCGGTGGTGGCATAAGGGGGAACATGATGAGCCGCAGGAGAGGCGGGAGAGAATCAGCAGTGCCAATGAAGCCAGCGCTAGAGGAAGCAGAGCCGCATAAGCCAATGCTTCCTCTATAGTGTCGGCTCCTGTCACAGGCGGAGTGATACCAAATGCACTCCGCCTGTGAGGAATCGATAGTGAAAGTGCACTTCACTCATTCTGGCCAGAGATTGGTTACCAAATTGCTCTTGGAAAGGTAAGGCACCCCTGATTGCCCTGATCACTCTATTCTTAATTTTGCTATTTTGGATTATTTGATTTGGATATGGATTTGCATTAACTTTGAATTGTTGTACATTAAAAAAAAATAAGACCTACCCCGAAAATAAGACCTAGTGTGTTTTTTTGAGGCCAAAAAAATATAAGACAGTGTCTTATTTTCGGGGAAACACGGTAAGTAAGACATAGATTCAACCATGTAACACATGTAACCATATAACACACATTTATAAAAATAAAACTATTGAGCAGCCCTCTAGACGTATCGGGGGGCAGCACTTGAGGCCCCCTATATTTACTCAGCTGATCACCACTGATCTGTTGCCTTGGAGAGGTCCCATTACTGGACCAGATCGGCATCATAAAATGGGTCTGGATAAAAGCCACAACCCTCCCGGCTGGATGTCAGTTGTAACAATATGTCCATGATCCTTTCCAATCTGGGGAGTGCAGTTTATACAGTATACACAATTGTTGTTGCACATATTCATTTATGTTACACGCATACTTCTTTCTGAAATCCTTTACAAAGAACCACAAGCATCAGCCACACCTGTAAGGCTAGTTTGGGTGAAAGCTAACTAACCTATTGCAGAATTTTGGGAAGAGGCGGGAGCAAATTCAAACAAGTATGGATAGAACATTCCAAATCCATAAAGACGGAATGTTCGGTGAGAATCTAACCCAGGATTTTACCATGACATGGCATAGCCAACACTTTGCCACTGGTAGTATGCATTGCTTTACCTTTATTGGAGTATTACATATCTATACCTGGTATATGTACCTGCCATGGGCATATTCACAAGACAGGCTGGTGTGTTAACTAAACAGTGACCAGTTCACAGGAGGGTCTTCTCCAAACATTGCCCTGCAACTCCCCTCACACCAAGTCTGTCTGATGAATGTAAAATGGAAGATACAGCCGACACCAACCAATCACAAATCATCATCTGATCTTTAACCAGCACTGAGAAAATAACACATGGAATTTAATTTGTTCTTATGGACTGTAGCACCATTTTGTTTTTCATAAACTTGGCTTGGGCAATCATTGTCTTTGTTGTGTGTCTCACCTATATCACACGTGAAGGTGATGACAGCAGATTGGACCTCTGGAATCCTCTCTATGTGGAAGTCCGTGTCCATGGCTTTCCCACTGATATTCTCCACCAGGAGGTTTATTATATCTGGAGTGCAGTTGTCTTCGAGGTTCTCAATCAGGACCAGAGAGGATAGACATCTGGGTGACGCCTCTTCTTTCTTTGGAGTTGGTTTCCCTGTGAGAGAAAATTGGAAAGAATCATAGAATTGCTTTCCCATTACATACATATAAAGCCCATCAATGCGTCTGGGGTATCCCCCACCAAGTAGAACACACTTTGCTCCATCTCTATCCCTTGAGAACATTTGGCAGACACTTTGCAATCTTTGCAATCTTTTTGAGGCCCCAGGTAATATTTGTACTCATAATTGCCATTGTGTTGACTGTATATTGTCGAACAGTGTGCTGCCTACCGGGGGCTCGTGTTCGACACATTGCGAAACAAATTGACAGATTACTGGATGGGGTTGCGCACGACCCCGTTGTCATGGTGCACATCGGCACCAATGACAAAATAGGAGGAAACTGGAGTGTCCTAAAAAGGGAGTTCAGAGACCTAGGCGCTAGGCTGAAGGAAAGGACCTCCACGGTAGTTTTCTCAGAGATACTACCGGTGCCATGAGCCACTCCGGACAGACAGCGCGAGTTGAGGGAGCTTAACAAGTGGCTCCGGAGCTGGTGTCAGAAGGAGGGATTTGGTTTCCTGGAGAACTGGGCTGACTTCGCAGTTGGCTATCGGCTCTACAGCAGAGACGGGCTGCACCTTAATGGGGAAGGTGCAGCATTTCTGGGTGGGAAAATGGTAGAAAGACTGGAGGAGCTTTTAAACTAGGAAATGGGGGGGTGGGCTTAAAAATAAAATTACTTAAATCAAATGGAGATAAATTCTTCTTAGATAAAAAAAAGTGGGCTCACTCTAGTCAACACAGCTAAAGTAATCACCGAGGTTACAATAGCAGAAACAGTCAATGTAGCAAATAAGTTGTCAGAAGTGAATAAAATAAGAAACGAACAACCAACATCAAGGCCAAACAATAAAACTAGTGGGGAACAAGTAGGATATAAACTTTTGTCCCATAACAAGACAGGAATTAAATGTATGTACACCAACGCTAGAAGTCTAGTAAATAAATTAGAAGAGCTTGAAATTATGATACTCGAAGAGGACTTCGATATAGTGGGTATATCGGAGACCTGGCTAGACGGCACACATGATTGGGCTACTAATATAGAGGGGTATAACCTATTCAGGAGGGACAGATGTGGGAGAAGGGGGGGTTTGCATTTACGTTAAAAACTATCTAAATATGCATATAAGGGACGGCATCACGTCAAAAAGTGGAGAAGATGTGGAGACCTTATGGCTAGAGCTCGATATGGCGGACCCTAGCCGTAAACTTATTGTGGGTATTTGCTATAAGCCTCCGAATATAGGGAGGTAGGGGTCTGGAACTCACTGCCATCGGCCGTCATCTCAGCCAAGAGTGTAGATTTGTTCAAGAGACGTTTCGACAATTTCTTGAGGGACCGTAATATCCAGGGATACCAGTATCCCTAAGAATGAGATGATGCGTGGACCTATATGGGTTGGACTTGATGGACGTATGTCTTTATTCAACCCCAAATACTATGTAACTATGTAACTATGTATATTACCCCATTTCTCAGTGTTTGTTTTGGGGACCATATTACCCTCCAAAGGTCTGTCACTATTTCCTATGCACACCACAATGTTACTATGAGCCTTACATATTGCAGTTATTTATTTATTTATTACAAGTATTTATATTTATTCCCCTGTACACTCTATATTGTTCAGATACCTGGGAGTTCCTGGCTCTTCTCTGCTTTACATGTCTGCAAAAAACAAAAAAGAAACACAATCATCACATATGCGGAGATGCCATTTCCTATTTACAAATTATGGAGCCCTCTTGGCTGTCCTCTGTATCTAATTAGAAGTTCAGAGAACACTCCGGAGGGTTGGGGTCCACTGTCATCTACTGAAAGCTTTTTGTATGAAGTGTCTGACCAAAAATTACTTGTTTTCCTCCCAACACACAATTGTCTTTTTTTTTTATTCATCTTGCCAAAGCAGATTGGATATGTAAAGCTATACTCAGGTTGTCTGGACAGAAGCACAGATTGCCCTTTGGGCAGACACTTCTGAGGTGGGGTCCTAGAAGCACAAGAAGTCACATAACTGTATTACGGCCATGTGGCTCCGAGCACAGGTAGCAGAGGAACTATTTGTTTCTACCAACATCTGAGTAAAACCAACAAGTACAAAACTTGGTCTGAAGGTCATTTTCCCCAACATCTCCTGAAGGTGCTCCCACCCATTGGAGGATCTTTAACTCTCTCCAAATTTGCCAACTAAAACAGTGAGACCTTCCTCATCTCTGGTCCTAAAATACCGGCTGTAAGCAATTCTGATGTGAATGTCACAATTAAACTTACTGTCCCGGCCTACCAGAAATACAAACTCTTTATCTGCATATAGATAGGTATATTAGACATCAGAGATTGCTGATCCAAGGGGTATTTTAGGGCATAGCGTTCTGTTTAGGCTTTTCTTCTTTTTTTTTTCTCTCCGTATCTCTATAGGTTGAACTCGATGGACTTGTGTCTTTTTTCAACCTGACTAACTATGTAACTATGTAACTAAGATAAAACAACATCATCTTCTCCAAGGTAGCAATATATGGCTAGCATTATAACTCAGTTCCTGTGGAAGATTAGAGCAAAGTAGAACTAGTTAAAAGTGATGAAATATTAACAATCACTTACAAAGCCATCCACAACTCTGTCCCCGGCTATATCTCAAACCTCAAAGTATCACCCTAACCGTCTGCTCCGCTCATCCCAAGAACTCCTGCTTTCCAGCTCCCTTGTCAACTCCTCCCATGCTCGCCTCCAGGACTTCTGCAGAGTCTCTCCCATCCTATGGAACTCTTTACCCCAACCTGTCCGACTATCTCCCACTCTGACTGCCTTTAGGCGATCCCTTAAGACTCATCTCTTCAGAGAAGCCTTTCCCACCTCAACCTAACCGCTCAATCATCATGTTCTCAAACAATTCATCCCCACACAGCTCCCTCCTCATGTATCATTTCCTCCTCTCCTATTAGATTCTAAGCCCTCAGGGGCAGGGCCCTCCTTACCATCTTGTCTTGAATTGTATTGTGACTGTAATGTCTTCCTTATATTGTAAAGCGCTGCGCAAACTGTTGGCGCTATATAACTCCTGAAGAATAATAATAACTCTCCCCAAATTTGCAGACTAAAAGAGTGAAAACTTCCTCATCTCTGGTCCTAAAATACAGACTGTAAGCAATTCTGATGTGAATGTCACAATGAAACTTACTGGCCCGGCCTACCAGAAATACAAACTCTTTATCTGTATATAGATAAAACAACTTTTACATCGCCATGATGTCATCATCTTCTCCAAGGTAACATTATATGGCTAGCTTGATAACTAGGTTCTTGTGGAAGATTAGAGCAAAGTAGAACTAGGTAAAAGTGATGAAACTTATCCCATATAATATAATATATGGGGAACTTTTCCTGTTTTCTATCAGAAGCACTGGAGGGTTCCTGCACCCATTCAGCTTCGCACATAACTGAGCATGCTCCAACTTCCTGTTTGTTCTTCCTCTCAGTGTTCACTCCCCATCTCAGCTATCCTCTGCAGAAGAGCACCTCCAGCATCCTGGATCCTTAATGTGGTAAACATTGTTAGAAGAGCGGAAGGGCTACTGACGGAATGTTTATTTCACGGACATTGTAATGTACACATGTGGGGATTTCCATGTCAAATGTAAGGTGGTGATGTGGGAGTACAGTTATGGTGTACAAGCACAATGTGCTCAGCAACATACAGCAGATGAGTACAACTCTCCGGAAAAGATACAAAATCCTTCAAATAGGGCCACAGAGAAGAGGTACTTGCTGTCCCCCATGCTGATGGCATTCAGTGAGGGTAGGTTGGTGGAAGGCGAGGTGCTAAGCTGGAAGTGGCGGTCGTAGTTTTCTGGGCGAGGATCAGATATTGTTGTAGAAAACACTTTCAGGGGAAGGGGTGCTTGCTGTATCCCATGGTGGTCCCATGCTGTATCCCATGGTGATGGCAATCAGTGGGAGGTCGGTTGGTGGAAGGTGAGGTGACCGTTAGCTTGGAGGTTATGAGAACATTGGTAGAGACTCTGCACAAAGACTGAAAATCTCTGCACCCAAACTTTTGGCCCTGTGAGCTCCTCCACCCCATGCCCCTTCCCTGTAATGTACACTTACCGCATCCTTATCCTGTGCGGGTAGAGGGGTCTTTGTACTCTGTAGGTGTTCTGGTGACTGGACCTCCAGATGTAATATCTCCCCATCTGGTAATTTCAGCTCATGAGTCTTTCTTTTCAGAACCCGATCTCGTGCTGTGATAGAGAATATTGATGTACATTGTATAATTAGTACCCTCCATCTAGGGTTGCCACCTGTCCAGGATTCAACCCGGACAGTCCGGGTTTTGAATACTGTGTCCGAGTTTCATGGCAGCAGAAACCCGGACACAAGATGTCAGGCAGACGGGGGCAACCAAAATTAAGATAGGGGCTACAGGCCCCCCATTGAAGATAGTCTCAACTGATATTTACATATGAAAAAAAAAGTCAGCGCGTTGCTAGAGTGTTCGGGTTTCGCTTGAAGAAAAGGTGGCAACCCTACCTCCATCCCAAGTACCTACCTGTCTCATCCTTGAAGTGTATGAGGACGTGTCCCCGGCTGCAGTCGGTGTCTCGGATCTCACACTCTCCTCCGTCTGATTTGTTCTTGCTCTGGAAATAAGCCTGGAGTTTATTCTTCAGCTTCTTTAGTTTCTGTGGCCCCTGGTTCCAGGTTAGGGCCACAGAGAAGAGGTACTTGCTGTCCCCCATGCTGATGGCATTCAGTGAGGGTAGGTTGGTGGAAGGCGAGGTGCTAAGCTGGAAGTGGCGGTCGTAGTTTTCTGGGCGAGGATCAGATATTGTTGTAGAAAACACTTTCAGTTTCTGTTACTGCAGATCAGATGACTTTTCTTCTCTGCTACAGAATTACAGGAAATGGTGAGATGCAAATTAGTCCCGACAAACAGCAGTCCCTTTGTGTTAGAGAGTGCTGGGACTTGTTGTTCCACAAACAGGGAGAGCCATATTGTTCGTGTACATTGGGGTCTCCTCTCACAGCACTGAACAGGAATTATAATGCTCCCTCAGGAGGAGGAACTGAAGGTTTTTTAAGATCATTTTAACAAAGTTTCAGTTACAGACAAAGATGGAAGAGAAAAAAATAAAGCAAATGATTAAATACAGAAAATAACACGGATGTAAACCCGGACTGGACGACAGTTAGTTTACTATGTGAATCAATGAACAATTGCCTTTTATCCACCATTTTCTCATTCTTTGTTGCATCTCCGTGCCGCTGCTCTCCTACAGTCCCTTTGCAGCCATTTGCTGTCCACATGAACTCTATCGTTGTTTGCATGACGTTTCTCAGGGCGGGTTTCCTGATGGTGACAACAGTGGAAAGTGTCTGTGTAATGCAGGGCTGAACAGACCACTTGTAGCCTCCATCCGGGAGAAACAGGAAGTGTCTGAACCAGGACTTCCATGGCAGGATCACCGGAGATTAAAGTATAATTAAAGCAGAACTATGAGGGGAGGGGGGAGGGGGGGTGCTTTTCACTCACCTCATAGTTCTAGCCGACCTGTGACAATGAGTTGGTCACAGGTCGGCTCAGTAGATCGGGAGGTGAGCGAACAGATACCGGCGTTCGCTCACCTCTCGATCCTGTCACAAGCCTCCGTTTTTTTTGCATAGATCTACCGCTAACACGCAGTAGATCTATGCAAAAAGTGTAAAAAAAACAAACGCTTTAACAGAGGATAATCCTCACCTGTGTCTTCCCTGCGCGCTCCCGTCCAAAAATGTGAAGATCCTCGGGCGGCTGCAAAGCATCTTGGGGCGGGCGCATGCGCAGTTCGGATTTTCGGGCCGGAAGGCGAGGAGAGACGCAAGGTAAGTCTATGGAGCAGTGTGCACCCGCATGCAGAGACTGTGGGACAGGAAGTGCCAGCAAGCTCAGAGGAGTCAGCGCTGGAGAGACAGATGAAAACGACAGGAAAGAAGAAGATCGAATTAAGAGACATCATTTAAGGTAAGTGCTTTCATTAACATTGGGGGAGGGGAAAAAAATGTACTTTAATGTAATGAGAGCTGCAGATTTAAAGGAGAACTAGCGTCCTCCCGTCACCCTAAGCTCAGTATATAGGGAGCTACAGGTCCATACTGAGACGCCGCAGCCTGGATGGATCCCGACATTACTGTCTAGATCCACCCAGCTGCGTGAGTGACGGCTGGCTCTGCCTATCTAGAACCAGAGCCAGCTGTACCCGCCCCCTCCCTCGTCCGTTCTGCCAGTCAGCGCTGGAGGATCGGAGCGGGGAGGGGGGAATCCAGTCACTCCACTGTCACGGCTCTCTGCAGGGAGATGATGGAGAAGTGCGCGAACGCCGGTATGTGTTCGCTCACTTCCCGATCTACTGACCCGACCTGTGACAGTCTCATTGTCACAGGTCGGCTCAGATTATGAGGCCTAGTGAAAATCACCCCCCTCATAGTTCTCCTTCAATAAGATTGAAAATGACTTAATTCTTTTTTCTTGCTACAAAATGTTTTGGTTTCCTCCAATGAAGGGCGCACAGGAGCAGCCCACAGAGGGGGCAGTACATTACTGATGCTGCAGATGACTAGAAGGTTCACAGGAACAGAAGAAATGTCTTTTAAAACAATTGTGAAACCAAACACAAGATTTACCCATTTTCCTAAGAATCTTTTGTGAAAATGAGTGAATCTTGGGTGAAAGTTGTACGAATCCTGACTGGAAATGGTGATGAATTAACCCCATAGCACTGGAATGTGTTGTTGGTGCTTTTTTTGACGTAGGACTCCTTTGTAAAGTGGTGTAACAGCTTCCAGGATGTCTGCAAACTTGTGAACGAGGATTAACACCGGCATTAACAACAGCAAACAGATACAGGCAGAAGACATTTTTTTGACATACCAATAAGCAATTCAGCCATTACAAAGCCTCACCACAAGACAAGGCGGATCACAGACACATGGAGGCTCAGCATGGATCCACTTGTAGGAAGTACTGGGGCCTCCTCAGCTGGTTGCTGTGAATGTAGTTCCCAGAAAAACCTAGTTTCTGCCCCAGAGGGGTTGAAGGTCTCTTCTTTGTCATCACTGGTGCCGCCATACCGTCTCTTTCTTCCCTCTAGACTTTGGCTATGGTATTCCAGCCCTGTTGGGCTGTCATGCTATTCTTCACAGAGCAACTCTGGCTCTCTGTGGTCCCTCCATCAGTGTAATGACATGTTCTTGGGAAGTCTTGACTGATGCAGATCTTGGGGCGGGCTTCCCAAATATCAAGAGAATCTTCCTCTACCTACTTTCCTACATAGTACGTCCGTGCCACAAAAAGGAAACTCCTGATTAAAATTTTCGTTATTGCAATAACTGATTCACATTCATTCTTATCTGCCATAGTCCCCGGTCCCCCGTGTGGGTGATGTAGGACCTCTGATGTCACACAGAGAGTGGTCCCTAGTTGTATATACATGATGCATGTTCTGTATATACCTGTAGAGATCAGACAGGCAGGGCCAGGGTCACACAGTGAAGGAAGGGACCGAAGTATGGCTGATTGTCAGACTATTCCAGATGGACTTCATGTGTGCAGAGATGCCAACCAGAGAGGGCAGTTTATTGGATGATAGGAGAGTCCTGACGTTAGGCCATTAACCCCTTCATGACTGAGCTAGTTTTTAGTTTCTGTTCCTAAATGACTGACACACTTTTTACATTTTTGCTGTGTGATTCTTCCACAGCAGCAAGTTTTGATTATTATTATTATTTTTAGAATTTTTTTAATAATAATTATAGTATACAAATATATTTATATATAAACGTTTTATTTTCCTAATTTTTTGTACACTTTTTTTTTTTTTTTTTTACACTTTGTAAAAAAAATAAGTGGAAAAAAAAAAAAATTTTTTTTTTGTCAGTTTATATCAAGCAATCACTATGACTGCTTAATAAATTAACTTTTTAAAATTTTTAGTTATTATCAGGCTGCTCCAAGCTTAGGAACAGCTAATAATAACTTTAGAGACTGATCCTGACAGCATGTCAGAATCAGATCTCACTAAAGGTCTTTGATCGTTCCTAGACGATCAAAACTGATACATTTCACTCAAGAGATACATTTTGTATCTAGTGGTTGAAATGTATCATTTAACATCGGGCCAGGCTCTCCAGCTGTCAAAACGAATAGCAGAGAGGTGAGTCACTGCTACCTCTCTGCTATCTTCAGCTGTCAGATACGGGATCGCTATTTAGCGAACCCGTATCTGAATGTAAAGGCTTCATTCTTTCATTAATGAAAGAAAGAAGCTTTTAAAAAAGCTTAACTATTTCATTAATGAATGTCTCAATAGTGAGGCATTAATTAATGACTGGAACTGCTGAGAATCAGCAGTTACCAGCATTACAGAGGCTAATATAACTCGGCACGTACAGTGTACGTGGCCAGTCATATAGCCACTTTGTGACGGACGTACACTGTACGTCTCCCGTCACGAAGGGGTTAAGAGGTGGTACAGTGTTATATTACCATAAAAAGCACAAAAACATATTTATATCGCTGTGCTATCTGCCCCCTGAGGCTATCGAGCGCTGATGTCACCGGTTGCTAGGAGCTCGGCGGGACACCAACCAGAGTATCCCGCTCATCTCCCTGGCAACAAACATCAGTGAGCTGGGCAAGAGTGCCCTGCCCAGGGGGATGTTATGGTCCCCACCCTGCTGCCCCCCCCTCACACCTGCTGCCCCCCCTCACACCTGCTGCCCCCCATTGAGATACTGCCTCATTATTGGGACAGCCCTGATTATATCTAAAATGTGTAGTAAAGGAGTTAGTGCTATGCATTTCTCTACCTTTAGGCCTCATTTACACGAGAAAAGACCGTGTACAGCTCCGTGCTGCGTGCACGGCCGTATCGGGCAGCTCCCCGGAAGGACAGGTGCTGCGTGTGATTAGTACGCAGCCCCCGTTCTTCTCTATGGGAGTGCGCGGCCGTACGCCGCCCTACGCTCACCCCAAGTGCTAACCCTAACCCTAACCTTCTAAGCCTTTTATAGCTGTCCCTAATTAAAGGCATGTCACCAGGCACTCATCTATTACCAGTGGACAAGTTAATATAAACATGAGCAGGTATGTTAGAGGTAATGACCCAGGTGACCCGGCATTCACCCGAAAGTCATAAACCTGAGTTACAATATCAGCTACATTTCATAATTTGGAATTGGGCGGTGATAGTGTAAAATAAAGGTTCTTCCCCCTCCTGATTTCTATCCCCAGCCCTGCCCTAGGGGCCGGCTCCGTGACACCCCCCTAAAGGGCTAATAAAATATGCTGTCAAAGCAACTAGAAAGGCTTTTGTTTTAAAACATAAGAAAGGAACTCCAGCAAAATCAAGAAGTCTTAACATCGTAGGACAGTTCCCCTTTAATCTCTGGACATCATCTGCTGAAAGCTTGCTTGAAGAAGAGCCCTTCAGACTTCTCTTTTGCTTAATGAACTCTGAAACCTGTCAGAACTCCTAATTCCAGGACTGTTCACTATTCACCTTTATTTGCATTGATTTTTACTGTTGTATATATATTTTGTCTCTTTTTATTAATGTCTTTTTCTGTATATTTTCTGCACCGTTTCTTTTATAAAAGGACGATTTTAAAACTTGTTAAGCTCATCTCTACGCACTAAATATGAACTTAAAGTGTCCTTGCCTCTGTGAAGAGCGCTACTGTATAGTGATCGGTCCTATTCCTCTATGAGTGGACAGAGAAATCATAGACTGTACTGTAT